TGAGTTATCTTTTCAAAAGTTGAAGACAAGGTTAACTACAGCTCCAGTGTTAGTGATACCTGAGCGTGGCTTGGGTTATGTGATTTATTGTGATGCCTCATGTGATGGTTTGGGATGTGTGTTGATGCAGGATGGTAAAGTAGTGGCATATGGGTCTCGGCAGTTGAAGATTCACGAGTACAACTACCCTACTCATGATTTGGAGTTAGCGGCACTTGTATTTGCCTTGAAGTGTTGGAAACATTACTTGTATGGCGAGAGATTCGTGTACTCGGATCATAAAAGTCTCAAGTGCCTTTTCTCCCAAAAGGACTTGAACAATAGACAGAGAAGATGGGTTGAATTCTTGGAAGATTACAATTTTGACTTGTAGTATCATCCGGGCAAGGCAAATGTGGTAGCAGATGCCTTAAGCCAGAAATCTCGTGGGACTCTGGCCTGTTTGGCTATTTGAAAGTGGAAGATGCTCAAGGACTTGGCAGAGATGGGATTGTATTGTTTTGATGACGATATTAACAGTGAGCCATCATTCTTGTTTAGTCTTATGGCTTAGCCTACTCTTGTTGTACAAGTGATTGAGTCACATAGACAGGACCCGGATTTAGATGCCATTCACGCTTTGATCTCTAGTGGTGAGACAGTGAAAGATTGGGCCTTGCATACAGATGGGGGTCTACAGTTCAAGGGTTTGTTGGTAGTTTCCACAGATTATCGTGAGGATGTCTTACGGAAGTTTCACACTTCCCGCTTTGCAGTTCATCCAGGTGGTACCAAGATGTATCACAATTTGAGACGTCAGTATTGGTGGAACGGGATGAAGAAAGATGTTGCACAGTTTGTGGCTAGATGCCTTACCTGTCAGCAGGTGAAGGCCGACCATCAGAGACCAGCCGGTTTATTGCAACCATTGCCTGTAGCGTAGTGGAAATGGGAACATATCGCTATAGATTTTGTGACAGGTCTTCTAAGGTCACGGAAGGGCAATGAGGCCGTATGGGTCATCATTGACAGATTGACCAAGACAGCTCACTTTTTGCCTATTAAAGCAACAAATGGTGCAGAGAAGCTTGGTTTTCTTTATGTGAAGGAAATTGTAAGGTTGCATGGAGTTCCAGTAACCATTGTTTCAAATAGGGATGCCAAGTTCACTTCGAAGTTCTGGGAAGGACTACAAGCAGCATTTGGCTCAGCGTTGCATCTGAGTACGGCATTCCATCCACAGACTGACGGTCAGTCGGAGCATACTATCCAGATTTTGGAGGATATGCTTCGGGCATGTGTGCTTAATTTGGGTGGTAGTTGGGAGAATCACCTTCCACTTATTGAGTTTGCCTACAACAACGGTTATTAGGTGAGCATTCAGATGGCTCCATTTGAGGTATTGTACGGTAGACCTTGTAGGTCTCCTGTTGTTGGACTGAGGTAGGCGAGACAGCCGCCTTAGGACCCGACATTGTACTCGAGACTACTGAGAAGATTAAGTTGATAAGACAGAGGTTACTTACAGTTCAGAGCCGACAGAAGAGTTATGTGGATAAGCGGAGACGGCCGTTATCCTTTGAGGTGGGAGACCATGTTTTTCTATGGATTTCTCCATGGAAGGGATTGATGAGATTCGGAAAAAGTGGCAAGTTGTCGCCACGATTCATTGGACCGTTTGAGATTTTGAACCGTGTAGGATAGGTTGCCTATAGACTTGCTTTGCCGCCATAGTTGGACAGGGTCCATAATGTTTTCCATGTATCGATGTTACGGAAGTATGAGCCAGATCCATCTCACATTTTGAGTTGGGTTGATGTAGACATTGATGAAGATGTTTCTTACGAGGAAGGACCAGTTCAGATTCTTGACACACAACAAAAGGTGTTGAGGAACAAGACGATACCAATGGTGAAAGTCCTTTGGAGACACCACGGAGTCGAGGAGGCTACTTGGGGGCTCGAACAGGAGGTTCGCTCCAAGTATCCAGAGTTGTTTTCTTCTCCAGGTATGTCTTGATTTCGGGGACAAAATCTTTTTTAAAGTTGGGGAGAATGTAATGTCTGTGTCTAATATATATATATATGTGTGTGTGCATAGGTGTATATATTTGTGTGTGTGTGGTATAATTTAAAACAAAAAGAAATTCAAAATGGTGGGACCCACATGCATGTTTTAAGCCTCATTTTCTTCCTTCTCTCTTCATTCCCGATGGAATCTCTCTCTCCCGTTCTAGAGCTTTCTTTTTTCTTTCTTTTGAGTTTCAATCTTTGAGACAAGATTTCTCTCTCAATTCTTGCCGGATTTAAGTGTCATTTGAGGCAAAACGAAGCCCACGACGAGCTCTACGTGCTAGTATAAGCAATTTCAGATTTGGTGCTTCCTAGGGAGTTAGAAATTAGAGACCCACTTTCAAGGGTTTTGTTCAATTTAGAAGTAGGAGCTCTTAATCCATGTTTTTCTTGCTCCATTGTGAATTATATCTCTCTTGTTGTAACAAGCATGTTTAATTTGAAAGTTAATTGTTTCAATGATTATATAAATGATATTTAGGAAAATTTATGATTATGAATATGAGTTGAAAAGCATGCTTAGATGTTGTCTTGTTGTGTTTAATGTGTTGATAATTCATTTGAAGATGTTGAACATGATGTATGCTTAATTTTGTGGTGTAAAATTCTTTGATGTCTTGTTGTGTTTAATGTGTTGATAATTTATTTGGAGATGTTAAATATGATGTATGTTTATTGTGTGGTGTAAAATTCTAAATGCCATAATATTGAAAGCATGGGACATATATACATGTACATACCATTGGGTTTGCATGAAATGGGAGAATTTGCTTGAAACAAAAAAAAAAAAAAAAAAAATTTTGGGAAAAAGTTTTTACGAAATGGTTTTATGAAAACCCGGTTGCCGCGGAGGTACCAAAGGGCCAGAGTATTAATATAGCCTAGAGGGGACTAGGGAGTCGCCCTAGCGTGGTTGAGCTATCTGGGCCCCTCGATGACGCTGCGGGGTTACCAAAGGTCTAGGGACAATAGTCAATCCTCCTCTCATGCCGTTGCGGGGTCACTAAAAGGCGGGTTGTATTAACAGTTTGAAAGTGATGGTTTGAAATGTGAAAATGGGAAGCAACATCGGCATGCATTTACATTCCATGGCATTGTATTGTTTACACTTGAGTTTGGTTGAAATGTTGTATTATCCCGACATTGTATGATCCATATTCCTATTGATCTATTCTTTATATGGATTCACAAGGACACAAGATGAGTGTCTTAAGTGCTACCTACTGAGCTTTATGCCCACCCTATTATTTAATAAATTTTTTTCAGGAAACGGGAAAGAAGTGGCGGATGACTTTCCACCACAGGCCTAATTTGGATTAGAAGAATTTTTTGCTATTTTTGTATTAAGTCCTATATTTTTTGTAAAAGCTTAGTCTGTTATATTCGGTATAGAGGTTTGTGGACTCTTGTTATTATAATTATACCTATAGGCTGTAACTTTTGTATGAGCTGTCTAAATGTTGTAAAATATGGACATTTGATATTAATCTTGTATTTTGGGACTGTAACTATGTTATCTGGATGATATAGTATGTGGTTGAACCACTATGGAATACACTAAGTTAAGGCATGGTGAATGGATGAAAGGGATGTTGGAATGTATTATATGTTTATTGTGCTAGGACAGGTTAAAAATGCATTTAGACAAGTTATGGTAGACCCATTTTTTTTAGGGGAGGTCGTGCCGAAATTTTTTTTAAAATTGTATCAGTTTGGGGTCGTTACATACATATACGATACGACGCGGATACAAAATTCTAAAAAATAACACATAATATAAATAAAAATTTTCATTTATATTACCAGTAAGACAATTAAATGAATGTGTGCATAACACATCAGACACAATAAGATATCAAAATCTAAAATAATTATTACTCCTACATAATAAAATGAAACAGTAATTGACCATAAAACTTTGAAGTTTTTGCTAGTAAGGATAAGAGAGGGTTTATGGTTGACATTCATAAGAAGCAATAACAGAAAATAGCAAATAGCAAAAATAAAATGTAAAAATAAGTGACATATTGAATTCGTGATTTTCTTAGGTCCACTTCTCCCTTCCACAGGCCCATCCCCAGGTGATGATTCCTCAGAAGTGCCAGCATCACAAAATCTCTTTCCAAGTAAAACTAGGCTCACATCTGCATAAAATGCGTGCCATATCTCTTTCCAAGTAAAACTAGGCTCTTCGAGTAAGCATCTGCATAAAATGCGTGCCTATGCGTTGAATGTGTAGACCCACGAATTAAAAATAAAAGATACCATAATCTTCTAGCGGGAAGATAAGGTCTTCCAACTACCTAGTCCCCTGCACTGGTTGACAGTAGAAGTTCACCTTTCCCTGTGAAGCCAGCTACACTATTGAATCCTCCAATCATATCAACATTGAACTGTTTAGTCTAAGACTCGGTAATGCCATACTCTTTCATCAACCATATGCAACAAGGAGTGTCTTTAGGATCAGTAAGGTGGATGAGAGCCAGTGATTCCTGACATTTAGCAACACGAAGACCTAGAATCTGCCAATCCATCTCCAATGCAGATGGATTGGCATGAGCCATGATATTATGGGGCAGCATAATTTGACCAAATTGCTCCTGACCCATGTGGAAGGACACAATCAATTTGGCATTTTAGTTTGAATTGACGGAAAAGAAAGGAAAAGAAGAGGGTGGCTTAGAAAAGAAATCCTAGTGCTATACTATGAGAAGTGAGCACATCTTATGTCTTTTTAACTAATGTATCGTGTTGGATTATTGGGGGAAGATTGTTTCGTACTCACCACTATAATCATCATTGAACCATTGCTGCTGCCATTACCACCACATATTCATCACCCTTAGTCAAGATCACCGGCAAGACCACCATGAAAAGTGACCCATCAGTATTGCTAGGAAGTCATTTGTAATATGACATGTGATCATTATATATAAAAAATTTAAGGAGTTGAAGTGAAATTATAATCCATATATGAGCAAAAAGATTTTGGTACGTACCAACAAAACATTTTCCATCACAATTGAAATTGTTATTACAACAGACAGAGCTTCTTGTATACAAAAATGAAAATAAAAAGTATCAAATGATCCTTTCTTTGCCTCCTAATGCTAGGATGGTGCTTCACAAACATACAAATGTCTTCTAGGAATTCTGTGTTAACCTACAAAATTGCAACAATCAAATACAGTAATCAATTAATTAATTAATTGTTGTACATATGAACATTATATATGAAAAATATGATAGTTCAAAATTGTTGGTATGATTTTAAGAATTGAGTTTGAAGAGAGTGATGATTATGGGTGGGTCTACTCACCTTCACCTTCACCTTCACCTTGCTCCTCCATAATTAGATGGATACCCATTTTCTTCACCTTCTTTTCTTCTCTTAGTGATATTGGGTGGTCAAAGTATTGCCAAACTGAAGCCTGAATGTAACAGCTGTCATCATCACAAATATTGGGAGGGCCTGGGCTAAGCTTTGGTCTCTTCTTCATCAAATTTTTAATTGGTTGTTTGTCTTTAGACAACTCATCGTAATATTCAGTTACGTTCGTCAAAATAACGTGATTGCCTTTACATCTCCCATACGAATAACTCTCTTTCTTCCACCACCTCACGTAATAACCGTTGATTTTGAGGTCAAATACAATCGAGTAAATTCTATCAAATTCCAAAACAGCACATATTGCAATTCCTTTGACATTATGATGATGATCTACCACCAAAGACAAAGAAGACCCCTCAACTTCACTCTTGTGCCTAAACCATTGCGGAATCTCACTTCCCGGAAAACTGATCCATTGAATTCCCTGTTCCATGCACGAACATAACAAGTTTTGAATACATACATATATATATACATAGAGAGAGAGAGAGGGAAAGTAATTAACCTGAAGCTGACTTTGTGATGATATATTTGGCATGTTATCCATCTCATCCATAACCAATTTGTGGCACTCAGTGAATATGAATTCGCGATTGTTTGGACCAATTCCACTTCGTGGAATCCAATACCTTTCCAATGATTTGCAGCCATGTGCATTCACTTCTTCAATAGATGGCGGAAGTGAAGTCAACGTTCGGAGGCTTGTGCAATGTTCCAAATCAAGGCGTCTGAGACAATTGAGTTGAATGAGCCTAGTTGGTATGCTAGACAAATTGCTTCCACTTAAATCTAATGATTTCAAACCAGGTAGACAGCCAATATTCATGGGAAAGGATTCTTCTGATAAATTGCAGTTCCTCAAATTTAAAACACGTAAAGTGCTCAAAGCGGAGAGCAGTTCCAGTTGCAAATAATTAGTTGAAGCGGGAGTTCTCTTTCGCACCAATGAAAATGGCACCAATGAATTTAGCGTTTTGGGAGACAATTTTGGTAAATCAGGTAGATAAAGGTAAGTAAGGTTATACAACTGCACAATGGACGATGGTAACTGTTCTATAGCGGTTCCTCCCATGTGAAGGGATTTTAAATCCTTCATTCTAGAAAATATGTTACTTGGAACCCTTTTAAGCTTTTGGCAATTATCTACCACAAAATCCTGAAGCCCTTCAAGAAGCTCAATTGATGAAGGCAAATCTTTTATTGCAGTTTTCGCCAAATAAAGTTCCCGCAAACGATCCATACGCCCCTGAATCTCTGAAAATTTCTCAAGTTTTAAGCATCCTGATAGATTCAAAGATTCTAACTTTTCCAACTTCATGTATTTTGTGAGACTCCTTAGATTTTTACAGTCCCTGAGATCCAAACAAACAAGCCTCTCGTGAACTCCAATCGACTCGTGGACCTCAATTAGATTTTTACATCCTTTAAGATTTAATTGCTCGAGATATGGGAGACTAGACAAGTCAGGACTTTTATACAAATATAAGGAGTGACTAAGATCAAGGTATTTTAACTTCTCTAGAAACTGGAAAGGAAACAAGCAATGAAAGAAATCAATCAGTTTCAATAAATTCCGACAATACTATTCATATGTAAATAATTGTATAAATAAACTCTAATCATACCTTGATACTTGATGATATTTCTTTGATTTGATTGTGACATAGGCGAAGTTCCGCAAGATTTTTTGGATGGAAATTGGATGGCAAAAACTTTGTAGGGTAATAATCCCAATCGAGATAACATAATTCGTTTGAAAGATATGTAAGTTGTCCACAAGATCGTACGCCACTGAGTTTGAGCAATTTAAGTTTCTTCATCTTCTCAAAGACATCCACATCTACATGTAACTCTTCTGGCGCATGATCATCAGGCAAGTTTAGCATAATGCCTTTAATTATTTCTGTCATCTGATCACCAAGAACATTGTGTAAGCTACCATGCAGTGTTAAAACCTTAAAATTATCCAAGTTCACAACTGTTTAGATGGAAAAAAGATAAAGAAATCTTTTCTTCTTCTTTTTTCACAACATGAATATCAAAATTGCAAATAAACTTATATGGAGTTAGAACGTACCGTATTCTCTCTGAACACTTTATAGATATCTTCATAAAACCACAACCTACTTCGTTTGCCAGGATCATCAGGTGATTCTTGACGAACAATTTCCTTACCCATTTCTTGTAACAAATCATGCATGCACAGCTTGTTGTGTGATGAGATAGTTATCAATGACCATTCAATGAGAACTGGAATTCGTGGGTGAAACCCATTACTACCCAATATATTCATTACATAATCTTTATCATACCCTTTGAAGAAACAAGAGATGTCAAGGAACAAATCCTTCTCTGTGTTGTTAAGGCCATCAAAACTTATCTTAAGAACATCATGAATTCTTTCATTAGGAATTTTTTTCAAATTATCCAGTTCATATTCCCATTCTTTTATACTTCTTTTAAATAAAAAAGAACCCAAAACTTGAAGAGCTAATGGAAGGCCTTTGGCATAATTTACTACACTTTCTGAGAGTTCCCGATAATCCTCCAAGGGATGGTTGTTAGTGAAAGCATGCCAACTAAAAAGTTGAAGAGCTTCATCATTATTCAACAACTCAACCTTGTACATTTCATCTACTTTATGCTCCACCAATAAACGTTCATTTCTAGTTGTTACAATGATCCTACTTCCAAAACCAAACCAATCATTTGCTCCGGCTAAACTTTCTAATTGCTTCAAACTATCCACATTGTCAAGAACTACCAGGACCTTCTTGTAACAAAATCTTTTCTTTATCACATTGATCCCGTAGTCAACATTAGACATCTTTAGATTTTCTTCCATTAGGATGTCTTTCAAGAGTTGTTGTTGCAAATCAGTTAGACCATTCTGTTGTTCTGAAACTCCTTTCACATCACTAAGGAAGCAACAACTTTCAAATTGCTGAAATATTCGATTGAAGACAACTTTGGCTATGGTTGTCTTTCCTATTCCCCCAGTTCCAGAAATTCCTACAGTGCACACATCCTTTGACAAATTATTTAGCAAAGAGATCACTTCATTGACACGAGAATCTATCCCCACTTCATACTCGGCAACATATAACGGTATATGTTCCAATTTTTTTATAATCTCTTGAACAATTTTTTGGATAAATTTCGCCTCATGCCTATGAAGTACAAAGCACATTAAAAAGAACTAGTGAGTCATACATGACACACATTTTTATTTATGGGTAAATAATAATAAATTACTCAATTCGTAAACTAAATTGATTGAAATGGACTAATACATCTTTAAAATGTAGATAACCCATGACTTGATCAAGTCATGGGGGTAAACTAAATTGATTGAAATAGACTAATGAATCTTTAAAATGTGGATAACTCATGAATTGATGACTCAAGGTCATGGGGATGCACAAGTGGTTCTAGTAAGCAAGGCTGCTTGTGTTTATTTCTTGTGATGGTTCAACAATACATCTATATATATATGTGTGTGTGTGTGTGTGGGCAAATTACATAAACCACCCCTCAGGTTTTCAATTCATACATCAAGAAAGAAGTAGCTGAGATATAACACGAAGGTCCTATTTGAGCAATAGACCTTACTGAATCAACATAAATTTACCTATATGACCTTAGGCTAAATCGGAGAAAAATTGAGAATGAGTTTGGTATTGATAAGTTACATTTTTGCCCATCCTAATACATAAAACCATTTTCCCTTATACTAGTAGCTCATTTTGGTTGGTGGGAAAAGACTGTCTCCTTCTCTTCTCTAACTCCTCTTACCCATAGGATGTAAATCTATGCATATACATCTAATATATACATAAACATATAATATATATATAAGTATTTTTTGAAGACAACGATGGACCCAGATTAATGCATTGTTGCAAAAAATAAATAAATAAATAAATAATAATATTCGAAACCATAACCAAGCAGATTGAATTTGATTTCTAGATTAGTGGACAAGTCTCAAGGGAACCACCACCCACCACCGCCGTCTTCGGTCCACCACACCCAGTCCACTGCTGTATTATATAGAGAGTGAGAGAGATATCCGGTCTGCCACCATAACTGAAACTTCCGATTGCAAAGAACAAAACTAAAGCCAACACATCCCCACTAGCAAGCAGAGCCACAAGATTAAAATACAAAAACTGAAAGAATAAGTTAAACCACACATATATATACACACACATATGTTTGTAGAAATATAGATGAAATAAAAGAATTGTCTTCAATTATTAAAGATGAAAATAGTACTGGAAAAAAGTAGAATAAAAAAATTATAAAAGCAAAATATGATATTAAAATAACATCAACAACAAATAATTAAAATTTAAGGAAGAAAAATAATTTGAATTAATTTTCGTTTATAACCATAGAAGAATGGGAGCAAGTGTATATTAGTCAACTAGAATATTTAGAGATCTCCTAAATTAGCTTAGTCCGCTATAATATAAGATGATTAGAATAACTTTAATTCATAATTTAAACATTTGGAACCCTATATCATATGTTTTGAACTTAAGAATATGTATTAATAAATGAAAATTTGTTACACCCTATATCATATATTTTGGTCAACAAAATTACAAGGGTTGTTGACCAAAATATTGGTCCACATTCTATCTTGATGTATGAATTAAAAACCCGCAGGGTGGTTTATGTAATTTGCCCATATATATATATAAACTGTTCAATCCAAAATCAAATTGAACTTTCATTACTCAAATTCGCAAATGTAATCATTTTTACTTTAATAAGATAAACGACAAGAAGATAAAAGAAATTGAGTTCTAGCACTTTGGGAGGTATTAATTTTCAGTCCAACCCTCTAAAATTCTCTTCAAACTACAATACAATTGATATAAAAATCGTATTTGGAATACACAAATAAATAAAAGTTATTTTAATTATGGATCATTAATATTTATTTTTTCTTTTGGTTTTTGTTAGAAAAATCAAGTCCAAACACAACTAGGTAAAAAAAAAAAAAAGTCATGTTCAAATATGTTTATTATTTATTGGACTTACACTTGAAAACAGCAGCACATACCACTTTAATAACGTCTTTAGTTGTTCGATGGACCAAATTAGTCAAAAAAAAAAAAAAAAAAAAAAAAAAAAAAAAAAAGTTTATAAAAATAGAAGAAAGAATGTAAAACTTAATTAGAATGGCAATCTGAAGTTTAACCCATCTATCAATTAAACTTGAAATCATAATTTTTTTTTTCCTTTTTGGTAAGAAACATCAAAAACTTAATAATAACTCTAATTAATAAATATTCAACTTTAATCAGATTAGTTTGATTCTAATTTGGCATAAAAATAAAAATAAAAAAAGGAGATAGGCTATTCACTGCAAATAATAAATCCAAAACTAACCTATATATTTATTTAAAGATTAAAACACTCACTTAAAATTAAAATATAGTGGATAATGATATCTTCTCTCCTCACAGAGTGTGAGGTTGAGGGTTTAATGTGTTATTTACCAAGATATAAAATAATTAATAATAACAATTAAAATATAGTATAAGATATTGTGCAATTTTTCTCAATAAAAAAAAAAAAAAAAAAAAAAGAAAGCTAATTGAAAATATAAATTGTGCTTCATGTTTGCTTCTAATTAAATACTGCAACCAAAGTTGTTTAGTTAAACTAGTGCACATATTTCATACGGCAATATAGAAGAAGAATAAAATTTGTTGGGATAGTTATTTACCCATTTGCTACATCTTTCAAATCCCACCCGCTTAAATTTGCTGCCTCTACCAAAGCTGCCCTCCACTTTCGAACCTTTTCCATGTCGTCTCCAAAATTTTCCTCATGTTTGGCAAATGCTTCTGCAAAACTTCCTTTTTGTTTTCGTACTTGTGATGGATCGACATTGTAGAAAATTGGCAAAATCGTCTGTCCCACTTTATTCCTGCATTCAACGATGTGTACGAGTTCATCCAAACACCAAGAGGACGATGCGTAGTTTTCCGAAAAAATGATGATTGCAAATTTCGATTCCTTAATTGCCTTGAAGAGTTCTGAAGGAATCGATTTTCCTCTCTCAAGTTTCTCATCATCTTTGAAGGTGTGAATTCCTTTGTGTTGCAGAGCCATATAGAGATGGTCCACAAAGTTCTTGCGGGTATCTTCACCTCTAAAACTCAAGAAGACATCGTAATTCCATTGAGGCAAAGAAGAAGAAGAAGAAGAAGGAAATGTATTCATTGAGGCTGGCTAATTGGTGAATGCAAAAAATTTCGATGTGATTATGATACTTAGAAATATCTCTCCCCCTCTATTCTATAATTGTTGGCTAAGAATCATATCCAAGCAATTTCGTTCCAAAAGTTCTTGGTAAGAAGTTGCTGGGAACTTTCTATGAAACTTCAATCTTTTTCTGGGTTATAGAAATGTGTGGAAGTTGATGGTAAATTTTCATGAACTTTAAATGATCAAAGCATACACCTTTTTAGCAAAATAATAATAACAGTAATAACACTGTGAAAAACAGAGTAGGTGGGTCAAATTAGGCTGCTGAAGAAAGATTTCCAAAGATTTAATGCCCCGCTGTTGAGAATCAAAATTTACATCTTCACATGGGAATCAAAGAAACCTCTGACATTGCAGGAAAGAAAATGTGTTTGCTATTAGCTGGCAAGAGGAAGGGTGGTCCCTTATGTTAGTAAACACAGAAATGAATGGTTTGAGTTGAAAGTGGACTTACCAGGTGAAAGTGAAAAAGAAGTTTGTGTGGACCTGTGTAGCTGGACCTGTGAAAATGTGTGGACCTGTATAGCTGTAGTTGGAAAGTGCGTACGCAGTGCCAAAATGTGCAACTGGTTCGAATCTTTTATTCTAAATATACACAAATTTAAATCAAGTGATGATATTGCGAGTAAAATAATGTTTTTATATGTTACTGTTCAAGACCATTCAAGAGTTATACCAATATGACAAATTCAAATAATAAAATTAAAAAATGGATTAAAAAAATATGTAGATTGAGATTAAAATTGAATTCTACAACAAAATGCAGAAAACTGACAAGCTTAATACTCAGGTGACCATGATTTGAATAAAATGAAAGCTTGAATTATTCATGAATTATATATCGGAGAAATTGTGTACTTCAAAGTCTCTCTCCCCTTTTATTATGTATGTAACAATTGCTAAGCATCATCCAAGCAATTTCCTTCCTTGTTCTATGATGCTCTACTTGGGAACATACAAAGAAGTTATTGGGAAACGTGCAAGTTTTAAAAACTTTATGAGAGATTTTTATACATAAATCTTGATTCATCACATAGAGACAAGTTTTATGTAGAAATAAAATATAATGTATCATTCAATTAATAGATTAAATACTTACATCAAAGGTTTGAGTAAATCTTTAAATCTTTCCTCTAAAGTGAATGTTCTCACTTATTGTAAATCACTTAGTAAGATCATTTCTCCTTCTTCTTGATAGTATTCTTTCCTTTAGGAATCACCAATATACCTTGATGAATTACCTTAGAGGCAAGGCTTGTGGTAGCCTCCTTTGGAAAAGAAAGCAAACCCTAAAAACTAGAAATAAAAAATATATTTTTTTTTTCTTCCAAAAGTCTCACCTAAAATACACATAGACCCATGTATATATAGGCAAAATAAAGATAAGGAAAGAAAACAATATTTCCTTCTCAATCTCTAATTAACATATCTCAATTCTAATAGAACTCTAATATCAACTTGGGCTATGGGTGAGAATCATTCGGGCTTACTATTTTCTTGGCTACTATAAATTAATAATTGGTCTGATCCATTAAACTATGGACCCAATTCAATTAATTCATAAATTAATTTCTACCACACTAAAAGAAATTAATTGCACTCCAATTAAATAGTAAATAACCTCTAAGTCAATGTTACACTTTGACCCCTTTATGCACAATTAGTTATAGGATAAATAAAGTCATCAATCTGATTACTTGATTAATATATTTATTTTGGTACCTTTGATTATTTCCGGCTTAATCACAATAAAACATTTGTTTGACAAAAATAATAATTTAAATAAATAAATATATAATAAATCATTTTGTTTAAAAAATACACAAAGGCCTTCGAATTTAGTTTGTGATCAACCATAATCAATACAAAATAAATACCAGTAGCAATAATGCAAATATTGAGAATATGACCCTCTAACTATTAATTACATAACTACCCAAAGTGTCAGTCTAAAGATCCCGAAGTATCCGCCGAACAAATCAAAGTAATTACAAATTAATAAAAGAGTTTATACTTCTCTCATACTTAAGAGTCAAATGTCATGACAGTGATAGGGAGCAATTGCATACGATGGCTCTTGTAATATATCTCAACCTAACGCGAATCCGGTTCAAGTCTTAGTTAATAATGAGTCCATCCATAATTACCGACTATGAACTATTTATGATTGTTATTTATGTTCATTTATTGATTGCCATCACATACATATATAAATATCTCTTGTAATCAAGTGGACACTATCAATTCCATAATGAATCGAAACATAATACATTGAATTCACAAATTATATAAATCATAAATATTTCAGATATGTCAGGAACATATGTCACTATAATCCAAATAGGAATTTGCTATGCCATAGCATATAAATCCCAACAGCTCCCACTTGCCTTCATAGCCAATTCAAATTACATCTAACTCCAATGTTATCCTGGTGACGATCAAAACTATTGATCAATGACACCTTTGTTAATAGATCAACAAAGTTGTGTTCCAACGCAATGTTCTAGCCATGAGTACATTTTCTTGCCAGACAATATCACGTAGGACATGATACCTTCCTCTCAGTGTACATTGTTCCTCTATGGAACCTTGGGTCATTGGTTTGGACTACTTCTGCACTAGTGTCGCAATATAGCTCGATAGGCAGGCTAGTATGCTCCACAACCTCTAAATCAGTGAGATCAAACCAAAAGGCTTCCTTTGCCGCCTTTAAGGCTGTAATGTACTCTACCTTCAAGTTTGAGTCAGCAGTTGAAATCTGCTTAACAATCTACCAACTGATTTCCCCTCCATTGAGTGAACATACACTAAGTCATGAACTTCATAGTATCTATATCTGATTAAAAATCAGAACTAGCATACTCAACTAGGACCACATCATCACATCCATAAATAAGTATGAGATCATTGGTTCTCCTAAGGTACTTTATGATATTTTTCACAACAGACCAGTTATCAAATTCGGATTGGACTGATATCTACTGATTATCCCTACAATGTAGCGGATGTCCTGTTTGGTATAGACCATGGCATATATGAGACTCCCATATGCCAAAGTATATTATTCCAATCTCATTTGTTTAATCTCCTATTCTAGTCTTGAAAAACTACTTACTAGATAGCAATTCATGTCAGTAAAGCAAGAACTCATTCTTTAAGTTTCGCATACCAAACTTGGTCAAAACTTTATCAATGTAGGATTGTTAAGATAAGCCTATTTTCCTTTTAACCCGATCTTACAAAAGCTTGATCCTAGGAATATAGCTTACATCTTGAAGATCCTTCGTTTCAAAGTAATTTGAACAATTATCTCTTTAATCATAACGAAGCTTCCACTTCATTCTAAATGAGTAGGATGTTATCAATATATATAGAATTAGAAAAAATAATGATATTACCCTATACACACATGGTTCTTTCACTAAGAAACTTCTGGTATCCTCTTGTAGATTAACTTGCCTTCCATAGGTATCACCTTACTAGAAAGTTCTACAAGATCCCAGATTTTATTAGAATAAATATATTCCAACTCTAATTTCATAACAACTTACCAAAACGATAAGTATCCATATCAGTTCACGCTTCCGTGTAGCTTACTGGGTCCAACTTATGTTTAACAAAGGTCTCACCTAAAAATATAATTTTGTCGGATTGGATGATAATCCTCCCACTACAAAAATATACCGATGCAAGAATATGTGTATTAGATGATGCTTACGCGTCAATAGGGAATTCATATATAATTCTTAATCCCTATAATAAGTGTGTTCATATGTGGTACATCTGGTACTCATACAATATTCTCTAACATTATGCTACTAGGTGTGTGATTCATAATATGATCCTCTTATAGATAAACAGTGAATGTAAACAATCAACTTTTATCATTAAGATCATAAAATAATCTATTATAGTGCCTTTAGAGTAGCCATCAAATCAAGCATACCTATGATCTGTTGCTAACTTACTTGTCCATATCAAACGCACATGTGCAAGACTACCCCATATGTGCATCAAGGTACAATGCTCGAGCTTTTGGCCTTTGTTGACTTTTCTTCTTCTTTTTGTTATGATGCTCGAGCCTCAACACTTGGGCTCGAGCTCTAAGGCTTGAATTTCTTCAAACTTCACCTTGCTCTAAATGACCAGTAACAACTCTGGAAGCTTCGATATCATCATAAAGTCCCGGTTTTAACCATTTATCTGGGAAAGTACCTATAAACACACATTAAACATAAATTAGGCTAATTACAGATAGAAATATCACTTTAGGCTTTAACATATACATATTTAGGGACTCGAATATGCATATATTCAGCGCTCATCACACCCCCAAACTTACATATTGCTAGTCCCTTAGTAATACACCTTAGCAATACAGAGCTAAAAAGCCGCTTTCGTGGGAATCACGGTTACATTTAGCCTATGCAACAAGCCTTTAAACCCCTAGGTTACCCCTAGTGGACGAGTTATAGTCTCGTGAGGGTTTTCAGTGAAGATACCCATAAACTTTTCAAATCAGTGTCTTAAATGCACATCAAGCTTATTCAAGCCTGTTTTCAAGTCATATCATCCTTACAGTTCATTAATCAGTCAAATACAGCAAATACACCAATCATGTAATCAGAAAAACTTTCAACTTCCAATTTCAATTAAGCAACCATAGTCCCCCACATATCTGTTTAATCGTTCATTCAACAATTTTAATCTCTAAAGATACTTTGAAAGTGATCCTACAATTCAACGTGTGGCTTACTGTCCACATTTATTCCTTGTTATTCCTCAATTCACAAGCAGACTCTTCAAATTCCAACTCCCAAGGCATTTTTATTTTTTTTGGGTATGCATTTTTTTCAAAAAGGATACTGTGCAATGTTCAGGTCTATTAAGCTTTCTAAATCACCTACCTTGTAGCGAACTTTCTACTAATGACTCCCAGACTAGATGATCTTAGGTCATGCTTGGTGTGAGTGAATGGAATTAAATGAAGCTAGAATGGAATGCATTTGTTTTCATTCTCTTGTTTGGTCTGTTACATTAAAAGTGGAATGACCATTCCTAGGGAATGCCCATTCCATCAAAAAGGTGGAATGCCCATTCCTCTTCTTGAGAGGTGGAATGACCATTCCATTCCCACCAAGAATTAATTAAGTAATAAAGTAATTTAAAGAAATAATTCACGCATACACACACTATATAATATATATAATATATATCTATATGCAGTTTGTTCCCTCTCTCCGATTTACACACACAAATATGAGCTTTTGTGCTCTGTTATGCAACTTTCTCAGTCATTATCTAGCCCTCTGTTTCTTTTTTCTCGCTTGAAAAGATGATCAGAAAATTATCTCTTTCCCTTTTATTTTTACAATCGTCGGAGAGCCCTTTGT